GTCCGCGACTAAGGCTCCTGCCTCCAAGGAGTCCACGCTGTCCGCGTCGATCACGTCGTCCGCGACTAAGGCTCCTGCCTACAAGGAGTCCACGCCGTCCGCGTCGACCAAGTCGCCCGCGTCCAAGTCGTCTGCGCCGTCCACGTCTAAGTCATGCAAGTTGTCCGCGACCAAGTCGTCCATGCCGGTCTCGTCCAAGGTGTCCAAGTCGGGTACGTTGCTTTGCTCACATGCGCTTATTGCTAGTACGTGCTCTAAATGCTGTATATACTGTGCTGTTGGGCTGTATATACAGCTACCGAGTCCACCAACATGTCGTCCGCGCAGACAAGCAGTGCTACCCTGCTGGAGATATTTGATCCAGCGGAGACTAACAGTAAGCGTGGTCTAGTGTGGTGTATATACATAATACAACAATATTCCTAACTTGTATTTTGCGCTGTTTTGAAAGAAGCTGTGTTTGATTCTCATCAAAGCCAAGACGATGTTGAATCGGGGCAACCAGGTATGTCCCAATCAAAGTTGTATATACACGATACTCTTTTCAACTAACCTGTATATGTATGACGTATATACTGTTTTAGACGGAAGCTCAACAATAGACTTCATTGTCGACGACGACGGCAATATCAACACTGACCCCAACGGAAACAAGAATTATCACGTGCTAGACTCGGGCAGCGAGTCCGAAGGAGATGATTTGAGTCAAATGGATGGAAGTGATTCCGATTCATCTGCTTCCGACTCTGTTGATGAAGAAGACGAGGAGCTGTACGATCAAGAAGAGCGGTTCTTCGCGGACAAGTTCCTAAGCACGCTCGGAGGGCAAGAACAAATTCTTGCTGGTGAAGTCGTCGGCCCCGCGTTGAAAGAGGTCTCGAAGACGGGATGGCATGATGTTGAAACCCCCGACGTCACCGGGTTTTTGGAAAATCCATACACGCCTGTCTCGGATGCTAACGAGTATCCTGGTTTGTGGAGCGGTCATCACGGGCCCACCCAATCGGCGTTGAGAGGCGGAGGATCCCCTCTTTCCCTCTTTTTCCTGTTCATGCCGGTGGCGATTTGGCAGCACATTGCGGAATGTAGCAACTTCTACATGCATGAACAACTGGATAACCGAGTCGAGGCGTATTTTGAGAGGAAGGAAGAGCGGGAACAGAAGAATAGGAGCTCCGGTCGACCCGTGTCAACTACGAAGACGAAGACCCGGCGAGACATCCGACAACAATTTCTATCGGTGAAGCCAATAATGCCACACGAGCTGTGCATCTACATTGGACTATTGATAGCGCGCACCGTGTCACCAAATCGTGAGAAGCTCGCCAATCACTGGCGCGGGGATGATTTCGGAGCAATCTCTCGTGGTATTCTCGGACGCTTCTCCCCCCGTGATCGCTTTATGGAAATCACCCGAAACCTCCATTTCAACAGCAATCAAGACCTCCGTGCTACACGTGACCGTGCTTGGAAAATACGTTCGGTGGTGACCGTTTTGCAGAAGACGTTTGTACGTGCGTTTATCTTCCCCGCTGAGCTGGCTTTTGATGAAGCGATGCTTCCGTGTCGGTCGTCTTACAATCGCACCCGCGTGTATATGAAAGATAAGTCCCACAAATGGGGCACCAAGCTATTTATGCTTTGCTGTGCACACTCTGCTTATTGCATTCGGTACGGAGGTAAACATGTTTTGCTGTATTAGCTGGGCCACTTATGCCGTATATTCATGTCGTGATGTACAGCTTTGAAGTCTACTGCGGTAAGAAGCAGCATAATGCTGAGAACGGCGCGGTCGACATGCAGTCAGGTCCTGCCGCTGTTGTGCGTAACATGCGAGCCGTTTTTGGTAAAACTCATTCAAACCATGGGTCAATGCGACTCGTGGTGGTTGATCGATTTTACACTTCGATCGTGTTAGCTGTGCAGCTGCTACTCATGGGTTTCTATACTATTGGCACTATCATGACTAAACGTTGGGGTTTCTACCAAGACGTAAAGACGAAGAAGAAGTCAAGGCCCAAACCCATTCCAAGAGGCACCTTGTCGTTCGCACGGTCAAAGCTTGTGAGAAAGATGACATCAATTTGCTGGTGGGACAGCAAACCTGTCCACTTTCTCTCGGTGGGAGGAAACATTGCGTTGGATCGTGTGCAACGACGCGAGAAGACTGGAGAGCAAAACTACGTGGCGTGCCCTAAGGTAATCAGGGATTATCATCGCTACATGGGCGGAGTTGATGTCCATGATCAACTCCGCCTACAACGATACTCTGTGCAGCGCTCGATCAAGTTCCGAAAATACTACAAGTCCCTGTTCTTGGGCCTTGTTGATTTAGCGATCACCAACGGCTTCATTGTGCATCGCGCTTACTGCAAGAATATGAAGATCAAGCCTCTGACACACGTGCAGTACATGTGCAAACTGCACCAGGATCTTCTTGCTCTCACAGTGGACGACATGTACGAGGAAAACACGTTTCAACCGGGTAAGTCATTGTGTTGTATCTACCGCTTTGGCTAAGCTGTACATACAGCTGAGTTAACCTGTATGCGTGGTAGGCGAAGCAGCTTCTGCTAACGAAGGCGGTGGAGTAGAGGAAGCTGATTCTACTGGTCATGTGGCTAAGCAAAGTGAAGAATGGCGAGATCACTCCGGCCAGCGAAAGCGTGTCCAGAAAAACTGCAAGGTCTGTACACTCAAAACACCAAATGGCAAGCGCGGAGCTACTTCGACATACTTCTGTGACGGCTGCGACTTCCCCGGGCCTATATATCTTTGCGTAAAGCCGAAGTGGATCGTGGGTGACAAGATGTTGAGCTGCTGGGACGTCTGGCATAAGGAGTACAAGAACGGCAAGGCCATTCCGGAGGTCTTGAGAGGCAGGATCCGCGTACGTGCGCCAAAGACCGCAGGATCGCCCGGAAAATCGCCTGCCAAGCGCCGTCGCGTTGATTCTGAGTAGGTTTGGTGTTGGAGAGCTGAATAACACGTGGTTGGATCCAGAAGTGAGACTGTTTATGGTTTGATCAGGCAAGCACTCAAGTCTACTTGCTCACCGCGCTTTGATGACAGGAGGCAGAAACGACACATATTTGGTCCGAAGTGATTTCATTGGCTGGCGTACAGGACGTCATCACCAGATTGCAGGACAAGTGCATTACCTTGACTTACTTTCAGTATAGGTCAGTTAGTTGTCCTGCCTCTATTACTGTTTTCGGATTTTTAGAGATATTCTCGAGGCCAACTGACTGATCGAAGTGCAACATAGACCGATATTCGTGCTACACACGCAAAACTCCACATCTTTGTCAAGCGCATAGCTCATGAGATGCTGTATATATACGAGCTAGAGCCACTTATGCACTGCCGTATATACAGCACTAGTGTCTACTTCGCCCGGGACGAAATAAGTGCAACATTGTACTATCCACACCTTTAAGTGCCGCAGCAGCTTACCTTCCTTTAGCGCGTCGCGAATGACCGAACGAGACACACCCACCTCTTTTGCTAAACTGTCTTGGGTCATGCGGCGTCTGAAAGGGACGTCGGCTATCTGCTCCAGCAGTGCGGAGCGGACCAAACACGGCTGATTGTGCTGTTGTCGACGCCAAAATGGTCAGATGCACGGGTCAAGCAACCCCAGTCAGGTTTCCCCCCGCACGCTGTGCATGAGGATGAAGAGGACGACATCCTGGCGTTCTCGGTTCGCTAGGTTTGGCCTCGAAGTGGCCCCAGCTGAGTCGGCTGCGTTGGTCATGCGGCTTGGAAATGGGGAGTGTCTGGTGTTAAAGATGCTGAAAATTGTGAAATGGCAAGCTGCCTGCGGTACATTTCCGTCGATAACTCTGGCGTCTGAGCAGTGTTTTTCGCGCGCAAACCAGCGTTGGAAAGAGGAGATCACACCGCGACGATTTCGCCAATCAGCGCTTCCAAAGCGAGTCTGTAGGAAAAACCACGTTCTTGACTAGGAGACTGTTGCAATTATTACCAACGAGAGGAAGTATAACACTAGCGGGAGTCCAGTACTTTCCCGCACCCTTCCCCTTGAGTATACAAAAATATATATGTTAATACGCTGTATATACAGCATGTGAAAATCCTCCCGGTTTCAAGGGGTTAAGCAGGGACTTCGCGCAGTGGGACGCTCGACATTTAACTCGGTTGTCAAGCTTTCCAGCTAGTGGGAATTGCGAAGGTTTTATTAATGGAAATGACGCGATGGGACTTAGAATGCGAACGGGCGATGCGGTGTTATTCGGATTCGACGAGCTTGAATAGCCAATGGGTTTTAATTATTTTTTTTTTGACTAAAAGTGTGGACAAGGCGACACTCGAAAAGCCATTCATGCGATGCTAACAATCATCGATAGCATGGACAAGATCACTTTCCAGTAGAAATCTCATCGTTGAGGCTGTCTCTGAATTCGGGCTCTAATCGCAGCTGTGCTCTCAGATCGAAGCCCAATTTGGAACGACAATTTCCCAGCGATACGATCAAAACCTATAAACTTCTTAGCCAGGGAGCTTGTGAAGAAGTTTATTTGAGTAGCAGTGAAAAGCTGGTACCACAAGTCGGGAATGGGTATTCGAGTTTAGGCTGGACACGGCTGGTAACACAATACACCTCACTTATTATCATTAAAAAGAGTTGGTCCCTGGCGGCCTTCACCAGATCGACAGGTTAGATAGTTGCTAGCCACAGATTGTATCTTTCATCGGCGTGGCGTGGGAGAACTCACCATCAGATATCTTCGTTGACTGGAATTAACGGACGGTGGAGACCGACAATTGCTGCTTGACAAGTCTCTGGCATCAAATCCGGACGGCTTTAATCGAGCCAAAGCTACTACCACACTTCACACATATCATGCACTGACTTGCTTACACACCACTAGCGCCACCCGAGATCCACCACGACCTCTATAGAGAAATTTTAAACTTAAACGAGCGAAGGACACCATTTCCGACTTTGAAGTCTCAAAAGAACATTAAATGCCACCATGGCAGCAGGAGTGGGTACGTCAGTATGGATGGCACCCGAAGTGATGCTGGACGAGCGATATGATGACAAAGCCGCTGATTTTCTTTCGGCGTGGTAATGTCGATAGTAGATGCTCATACGTCCAAAGCCAAACGAAATTGCATCAACTTTGACGGGTGTGCAATGGCAGACTTCTGAGGATCACAACGCCAGAAACTGGCGTCAAGTTCTCCGAGACGAGCCTGACTCTGAGCTTGGTGGATCTTGTGAGTCGATAGATTCGAAGCAACGACCAACTTTAGCTTAAGCGTTGTACAGACTTCACTTCTTTTTGGCCAAGATGCCAGCGCCATCATTGTGAATAGTGGATACATCTCCTGTCGTGGCCATATATTTCTCTTTCTGTAAAATATCTTTCGTGGCAGTTGCTTGCTGAAAGGTTCAACTCTGCTGCATGTCAACACAACGCATCGAGCCTATCAGTTTGTCAACGCTGACATAGAGGACATTATGACACAACACTAATCCTCACACTATTCCCATCGACATTTAGGATAAGAGGATCGAATCTTGCAATCCAGTCGATCGCCTGTCCGAAGACTTCGATGAACCCATATAAGCTTTTTAGCCGAATAGCAAAAAGTTCACTTCACAATTTGCATTGCCATCGCCGTGACGTGCGCCATGTTTCGCGAGCAACTCGCCGTCGTACTAATATTGGTGACAGCCCATTTGTTTGCAGCTGAAAGCGTATACACTGCTGAGAATTTCTACTCGGACGATGATAGCTGTAATGGCGTCCCCAACGTGATTCGAGCTACTGAGGACGTAAATTGCACCAGGGCCACGTGCTTCACCGATCCAAGTAACAACACTGTGCGCACTGAATGCCACTCGGACTACATGGAGGCCTTTAGACACAGCATCGGCGAGGATTACATCGTCCAGGTCGTCGACAAGGACAGCGATTGTGACGAATTCAGCTACGCCATCAGGTATTACGTGGGCGACTACTGTATGACTGGGTTCTTTGAGTCGGAAACACTTCGACGGTTCTTCTACTACACCACTAGACTGGAAAACGATGGCTCAGCCAAACTCGATTTTTTCTCGTCATGCCCCCCTTCTTACTACTACTTGCTTGACAGTGATACCACGGGAGACCTTGGCACCAATCGCATCGCCGCGAAGAAAGGGTGCGTGGCTGACTTCACTACTAACATCTTTCCTGGCTACCACAAATGGTACACGACGAGGATGACGGTGGACTGAGTGATGGATTTTCCGCGTGCATTATCTGTGGCTGTATCCTCCTGTTCTTGGTCATCGCTTTATTCGTCGTCGTCCATCAAGAGAAAAAGCGCAACGCAAAATTTGCCGACGCTCCGGTGGACGTCATCGTCACCTCGATTGATGCAACGCAAGACGGTCTTTTTATTCTCCATTACGAACAAGAAGACCAAGGAGCTGGGGCTGGGGCAGTCGCTGCCATCGTTCAAGATTTGTTCTAGGTAAGTTGCCATCTTGGCGTTCACATTGGGGTAAGCCCAGCCCCCAGTAAAAATGAAGTAGTTAAATGAAATTCAATTCTGCAGACTACGTAGACTACACTTCACTTGCAGTCTTCAGATCCAGGCGACAGCAGAGGTCGTGTAGAAATGAACGCGGCCACTTGTGTCCATTGCCCCGAGACGTCACAAAGTTCGCCATTGTGGCTTCTCGCTGAACTACAAGTTCGAGAAAATCACTAAATGCCAATTCCAGTGCAGCTTGTTGGCGGCTTGTGGGCATCGTCTCGCCATTGAACACGTGACATGCTGCTATCGACAGATGTGGAACATCCGCATCCAGATGACTACCCCGGGCCATTGCAACATCTCGAAACTGAGCTTGTGCTCCAATACGATCAAGCTTCACGCACCATCAAACGCACAGGTGCTCGCAGACGACCAAAATGGACCCATTTCCTATTAGACCTCCCTCGTCGTCTTGTGGGCTCTGCCGACACTTTTTACGACCGCAATGCCGTCACTCACACCATAGGCTTCCCGTAACGTCTCTTGGACGGCGGCGGTCGGGGTCCCACGCCTGCCATTGCAAACCGAAAGTAGGGTTGATCTGTCTACT